GTATAAAAATTTAAGGATCTTCGCATCAAACAAAGACTTTTTTCGAGCGTGCAAGCAAGAACGCTTAAAATCTTGGTCATATCATCCGAAGCGAAGACTTAATGGGACGATTAGTGGTGCAAGGGATGATCATGAAAAAAAACGAAAACGATATTAGAAAAACATGTGATGTGGTCTGATGGTGGAGAATATATCGTGAGGAAATCTGGACTCAAGCGTGGAGAAGAGGCCTTTGCTTTGCAGTGGGCACGTATAAGTTGATGTGATGTTAAGTCTTTTAGTTACGAAAAGGGAATAGCCGACCAGGCCACGAAGAGATCATGCAGGCCCGTTTTCTGCCCAACAGTTGTACTGTCCATTAGCATCCAAAATTTACTTGCGCGATTTGCTATGTTAAAATCACCCCTTCTTCCTTCCTAACCTTCTTAATATCTGTCTGTCTGACACCAGAACTTACATGTCCTTCAGGGTCACAGCTAAGGTCGTTGGGGTCAACATTCTCGAAGGCTTTGAAGGTGGCAGTGTCATTCTGCTTTGTCTTCTCAGCAGCGTGCACGGCGCACACCACCAACGCGATTGTCAGAAACTTGGCTGTAAAGAAAAAACAGTTTTAGAATACTTTAGTCTTCTTGAAGAACCTCTTTTGTCTCGTTTGGCGTTTTTTTCTTGGCGTAGTAAGGCTGGTAACGAACATACTTATTAACTGATGGTAAGCAATCTGCGTTACCCATGGACACTCGCATCACCAAAGGAGTGTGTTTCCGGCCTTTTGGGAATAAGGGTTTCGGACATTTAGGGATTGGAGACCGATTGGGGAGGGGAAGGCCTTAGTTATTACGATATGATACCTATAGCTTTCTTTAAATTAAAGCCTCTTTGCTTTTTTAAGGGAGCAATAGAGGAAAAGTACGGATAACCTGATGGAAGCAAAAGGCTGCAAATATTCCTAATCGATACGGGACATGGATACTAGCAGTAGGGCAAGCGCCATTGCGTTTTTTTTTTAATTCAAGTTTGAAATTATTGTTTTTAGTCCGTCTTATGGACAATGAATTGCCCACTGCTAGCCTTGATAGTAGGAAACAAACAATTCTTAGAAACACATAGATAAAGAAACTAAAAACAAGATATAATTATCTGGGTACGTTGTTAAACTAAAAATGATAGTTGTTGACGCCTTATCCTTTAGTGGAATCCATTTTGATTTTTATCAGAGTATAATCGACGTCAACACAGTTTTATTTCTTTTTGTACTTATCAAGATTGTTTATTATCGAATGGCAGTTTATTTTATTGGTTTTGCTAAAGTAATCGTTTAAAGATTTTTGTAACCTACCCAAGTTACCTATTAAATAGGTATACAAGAAAAAAGCGTGTAATTAAGGCAGAGTTATAGGTATACTTTTACTGTAGGGGTTCTAAAAGACGAGAACCACCTAGAGGACACAGTGAAGCATTCGGTGGGTCGTAGCGAGAGGAATTGGAAGCCGTCTCCTCTTCCTGCGAAGCAGTGATGCTCGCAAAGGAGGAGGCGGAGCGCGTGAAGGAACTATCCTCCGTGCGCCCCAGCCTCTGCATTAGGCGACATTCTGGGCGTCGGGAAAAGAAATGATCTCCGGCCACCGTTAGGGCGGGTCTACGGACGGCGAATAAGGGTAGCTCGCCGTCCGACCAGAACCAGACCCGAGCGTACAGTGCGTAGCGTTCCGCGCCTCAAAGAGCCAACGGACCACCACAGACGGGGCCCTATAGGGCTGATGTTCAGCCGAGGTTGCGGGGTAAGCGCAATGAGTCACCGCGGCCTCAGCTCGGAGCAGGAGGAGGAACGGGGGGGTTTTTAGTCAGTGAGAGTCTGACACTCTCTCTCGCCTAACCCTGGGCGGGAGAAGTCATTTGATGATTTTTCTCTGACAAAATAAAAGGGGTTGTAAAAGACGATTAATTGTGAGACTACACTTTTATCAGAGACCGTGAGCAAAACACAATATTGTAAGTAGCCTTGGCGGCAACAGAAATACATAACCTGATCAAATTTCAACTCTCTACCAATCACGGTTCATGAGATACAGTCTGGTGTCAACGCTGTCTGAGTTAGCAATCCCGTTTTTACCATATAATAACAGCTATGCTATTGTCAAAAGTTAATAAGCGAAATCGAAAAAAATCTTAATCAAATCATGTTTATTTAAAGTTTCGTATTCTCAAATGGAGTGAAATCTACATTGGCGCCACCATGTAAATAACGAAGTGAAAGGAACTAAAACACATAAGTATTTTGACGTTTGTGCACAGATGAGATGAGAAGCGAAGTGAAGAGTGACTTTCGAGATGATTTTCGAAATGAGATTCACCATTTGCAGAATAGCACTGCAGAACGCTAAAAATCACAAATTAACTACAAGACCTACGTCAATATTATTATCTCTCTAATTCTATTAGGTACTATGGAATTATCAACAATAGTCATAAATATCATGTCGCATAGCCAGCCCTTTAAACAATATCATTTACAACATATTAAACGAAATCAAACATCTAAACTATTTTAATAGTTTATCGTAAATCGATTAGACAATTTGATATAATAAAACAATATCTATAATTGACAATCATTGCTTTCATAAAACACCATTAAAGATTTCGTTTTAAACAATAAAGTAATAAATTGATTTATTGTCTGTTAAGTGTTTATCTATGGTCTAATTTACAATTTCGCGGCAAAAATGCGGAAATCCTTTGAACAAAGGATCCAAGGTATTTCCGAACCGATACGACCTTCAAACCTTCAAGAAACGTGCGTACTCCTTGTTAAAAGGCCGGCAACGCGTCTGTAACTTCTCTGGTGCGACAGGTGTCCAATGTCCATGGGCGACGCCGATCACTTACCATCAGGTGATCCGGCTGCTCGTTTGACTACTAGGTATTCCATAAAAAAAAATCGAATCGCCCCATCTTCACTATTTTTGAAGGACCCGAACCCAATTCATCGGAATCTCTTGATATGTACAACTTCATGATTAAGTACCTACAGTGTAATAACTAACCTAATTTTTTATAAGTATAGCAAAAATTCAGTCCTCTAAATATTCTTCGACTTATCAACTATTGTAATAGGTTTTACCTATGAAATTGCCGTTCTGCAGTAGGTACTGGCCATATCAAATAAAAATAGTTTTTGTTAGGCTAAGGCTAAATAATTTTGTTTTAAAAACATCGGATTCTTTTTCCAAAAGTAGTCATTTGTTTATTGATTATTATTGTTACATATTCATCGCATTTCAAATAAAAAAAATCGTTTAAATTTTTTCATGCATAACGGCAATTTCATAGGTAAAGACTTGTTATATACTTAGGTTAGGCCGTAGAGGCCTTTCAATTTTCATCCCGGAAGTCTCCGTCTCGAAAATTCCGACTAGACGAACAGTCGAAATGTCTCGCCGATTTTGTTGTATCTTCGAGATTCGAGTCGTCAAGTTTAGTTTTCACGACTTTTGAGCTTTAGTTGGACTTCCCAGTTTTCCGAAAATAAGCTGGATCCACGATCATTTGAAAGTTTAAATAACGATGACATCACGCAATCATTCAGCCGGGGTTGCAGGGTAAACGCAATGAGGCACCGCGACCTCGGCCCAGAGCAGGAAAAGGAACAGGGGGTTTTTAGTCAGTAAGCGTCTGATACTCCCTCTCGCCCGATTTTCCCTCACAAAAATTAAAATCACGTGATCATTAAAATAATTAGGTATTTGAAAAATCTACTGACCGTTATTCAGCGAATTCCAGTGCCAATGATTTCAATGATATCTTAATTGTGGAGCTCACTAATTTAACTGCTAAACAACAGCTAGCTAACCTTGAAAACATCTTGAAAATTTAAAACGGTGACGACAGAAGTTCCTACCTAGCTTTAAATCAGTAAATACTGCATTATAATTACTTAAGTATTTGTAATCCATCCCCCCTACTAGCGTCGAAGCAGAGAGCTTTTTCTAATGCACATTCATTTTTTAAAGTAACATTACTTTTGCAACAATATCAGATATCTGGAAATGCTTTCTGCATGCCTATCATAGAAATAAAAAAAAACGTAACAAATTCACTTATATTGCAATAGTTGATTAATAAAGCACTTAATTGAAACAGCTTGTATTCATTGTCTTATTGTATAAACTTAAGTATGAAACTTATTTTTAGTCTCGAAAGTCTTTCCCGAGAATACCGGGGCCGGACTTAGTAGAGGTAGCAGAAAAAATCAAGGTATAGCAATATAAAAAAGCAATCATTAATCAAGACGTCATTCATTACAAATTCATATTGCTGATGTGATGTGTCATGCATTATATTATAATATTTATCGGTCCTATGTTATATTGTATATACATACCTATCTAATTCTTAAATAAAATTTTCCGCCATTATCAAAACTGATAAGATAAACAATAAAAAAATTGAATATTTTATGAACGCAACTTTAATCTACGTTTAATTTTTTCCCAAACGCTTGTAAACAGGAAAATGTAAAGTGAAAGATTTATAATTAGGTTTCTAGAAGTCATATTGACCATTTAACAATATTCACGCGTCATAAATTGTTTGTGATAACAAGATTACATTAAATTGATATTTTTTTATAAAATTGATTATATCGTAAAAGAATAACAAAACGCAAGTATTGACGTTTTAAATAATAAATGTTGTTCTCTTTATCGTACCCGATATCGAAGTTCGTCGCAGATAAAAGATATTGCGAGTAATTACTACACAAATAATGAAGATATCGGAAACAGTTTTTCTGTGAAATTATGATGAAAATCACACTAGCCAATTAGTCATCCAAATGAAAATTGATTACTTGTTGCGTAAATATTACTAAAAGTAGGCTAATATTTATATTTCCGAACAAATTTAATTTAAATTCTAAAAACAATATTTTTTATATCCAAATGCAAGTAAGAACTTTACGAAAACCATCGATACTATCGATAATTGCGTCAAAAGGGACGCTCGGCACATCACTACAGCTGTCAAATATTTTGAATTTACCATCGCTGTGTTTTGAGTTTATAAACCTAATGTTTCCTTTATAAAAACATACTGTGATGTCTTCCTCGGATTCCGACGACGATTGCTACGGTAATGTGGCTCAACAACTAGAAAAATTAAAGAAGACTTTTGCTAAAGACAACTTGGAAAGCTACAAATTAGACGATTCCTTGGAACTTGGAGAATCTAGCAAAGATTTGCCTAAAAACGAAGAAAACACATCGGCAGTGACCATTGTTGAAGATTGTAATGTAACTGTAAATAGTACGGATAATGATGAATTCACGCTGGACGCGATAATAGCGAGGAATAGTAAGCCAAAACCGAAGCGAGGTCGCGGTGCCAAACGAAAGCATAGTGACGTTTCTGCGGGCTCATCTACTCAGGAACCGGCGCCTGGCAGGCGAAAAACTAGGAATTCACAAAGAGGCAATAGTAGTTCTGTAGATACTGATCAAAATACGCCATCTGTTGGTGAAAACTCTTTGATAGAGGAATCGGTTCTTGAACCACCGGCACCCCCATCTGTTAGTGATACTTCAACCGCTTCTACAAGAGGCAGGGGGCGCGCAGCGAGGAGAGGCCCGGCCAGAGGTAGGGCCAGAGGGAGAGGGAGAGGTAGAGGACGCATTCGCACTCGCAGAGAACTGTGGGCCATCTTTGACAACATATTTGATAGAATTGATAACCGCAATGTAGCCAATTACCCCACATACAGTGTCGGCAACACAGATGAATACCCAGATCAGAGTGATAGCCAGGAACTATTCTCAACAAGACCTGCTAATAATGATGTTCAAGTCATTGACGATGATGACGCATTGGACAATGATAACGAAGAAATGTCAGTAAAAGTATACTGGCAGAACTTAGAAGTATTCAAATTCAAAATAAGGAAATATCAAAAATTAACACAAATATACAATTACTTTATGGAGAAAGAGGGTGTTGGTAGTGAAAAATTATTGTTTATTTATAACGATAGGATTATTAACATGAATGATACTCCGGATTCAATCAACTACAGTATAGCAAAGTTTATAGATGGAGGTATTGTTAGCCAGAACGTAACACATTTGGCAACAACGAATACTTCAGAGAACGTAGTTAACGGAATTAAGGTAAAGTTTCAATGTCAGAATGTGAAGAAACCGTTTGAGACGATGTTGGGAATGGATGATAAGTTTGCTTCGGCCATGGTGAGGTGTGCAGAGCACTTGGAGGTGCAACTAGAAAGACTGAAATTTTATTTCGATGGAGATTTGATATCGAGTAAGTTTTTTTTGTCATTTCTATGTTTGATGTTTCTAGTTCATATTTTTTTGGTTTTTAATTTAATCAGATGCTTTTAACTTAGTCAAAAAATATTTATTTCTAATGTTTTAATACTACATAATTAGTAAAAGAAGATAATTATGCTTTCATTTATTAATGGTAAATATGTAGCCTTAGTAAAAATTTATAAAAAACATGATGACAAAATATTCCTCTTAAAATTCATAGAAAACTATATATCTATTTTGGGTATTCAAGAAGTGTATTGAAATTAACTAATTGCAGTGTATCTAATTACATTTACAGTCCATCTTAATTACCCTCTCTTTGAGGGGGTAAAAGTATCAAATGACCTGTCCATCATCTCCCTCACTGTGTGGGGCGGGAGGAAACTGACTAAAAACTATTTTTGCTCAGAACTGAGGCCACATTTCCTTATTAAGCTTTTTTCGTGAGAGGAAAATGATCCCACGCCCAGGGTGAGGCGAAACGGAGTGTAATATCCCCTGTTCCTTCATCATTGCACCCAGTATGCCCCGTCTATACTATCTATACTTCTATAATAATATTATAAAGAGGTAAAATTTATAAGTTTGTATGTAGGGTAATCTTTGGAACCGCTGGTCGGATTGCCAAAATTCTTTCACTGATAGATAGCTACAATGTTCCTGAGTGCTATAGGCTATAAAACATCACGCTACGATCAAATGGAGCTAAGCAGCGGGTGAAACCGCGCGAGCGTAGCTAGTCTATTGAATATTTTCATACCCTTGAAAGTTTATTTAAGGTTTTGTATTGTTTTAATTATTATGTTTGTTCTTTCCTTTCACGGGACCACAGGGTCCCGGACCTTTGGAAGGCGTACGAGGAGCCGAAGCCAACTCGCAGAGGCCCGTTGAACAGTTTTAATCTAAATGTGATGGGACATTATTATTATGTTGTTATTCTTGTTTCAGATAAGTCTACCCCACGGGAACTCGAGCTGGAAGGAGGCGAATGTATTGATGTAAAAATTTCTAGTTGATAGTTATATTAAATTAATAAACATTTTTTTTGTAGTTCTGTTTTGTATTTTTTTGGGCTCAGTGTAATGTTTTATGGCCTGTAGCAGTGTAGCCTTTTTACGAAAATAGACTACAACAGTTGCGGGTCCAAGCAAAATAATGTACCTACCGCCCAACAGGCTGGAGCAAGAAAAAAATCAGAAATCTGACACTCCGTATTGCCTCACCATGGCGAGACTGCTCTCGGGGGAAAATCACCAATACGAGTAAATTATCATTTTGTGAGTTCCCCCAGAAAAAAACAAGTCTCTCTTTATATAAGCAATTTAACCACCAAAATATCGGGTTTGTATTTATGCAGAAAGATAGGATCAAAGCGTCAGCCTTTGTATATACCTATATATAGTACGGCCGTCGTATTTTGACGAGTATGAAGTTAGCCGATTAGCTGCGCAGTAGGTACACAATTTTGTTCCTTAAAGATCCATGCCCTATGATAGCCAAGACTTCAGACTCGCCAAGATACGTCGGCCGTATAGTAGGTACCTATATGTATCTACGTAATGATAGGTAGGTAAAAAAATAAAGTATTAAAGTTAGGGTGAACTCATCTAATTCTGTGACTCGCCTAATTCGGTGATATTTGGTTTGAGCGCTATCATAGGGCTATACGAGTGAAAGGTTTCAAATACAACCTTAAGCCTCAGTGATTAATCTCGAATTCGTATGTAAATTAGAAGAGTTCACCCTACTTGCTAAATATTATGTGAATTTATATCATATTCATATAGGTTCACTTCAAATATTAGGTACTTTTAACGCAGTTAACTTTATTTAGTAACAGAACGAAGTTAATCTTCTATATATATAAAAGAAAGTCGTGTTAGTTACACCACTTATAACTTAAGAACGGCTGAACCGATTTAGCTGAAAATTGACAGGGAGGTAGTTTAGAGCCAGGAGAAGGACATAGGATAGGATAGAGTAGGGTAGGTAGAGTAGAGTAGGGTAGGTAGAGTAGGTAAGGTAGAGTAGTTTAGGTAGACTAGGGTAGGAAGAGTAGGGTAGGTAAAGTAGGGTAGGTAGGGTAAGTAGAGTAGGGTAGGTAGTCAAATGACGGGAGCGACGCCGCGGGTAAGAGCTAGTTATTTGGTGAACGATGCCCAGCTATGCCTATATCTAACGTCATGACGTGACGGCCTATCGGAGGGTTTTTCTATTTCTAATACACTTAATCAGTATTTCGCGAGGGATTAAGTGGCTTAGAGATACGTCAATCTCTATTTTAATACACACTATTTATTAGATATAATTATAATGGTTACATATTTATCTGTCGTGCAAACGGAAGGAATGAAGATTAGGAGCACCTAACTTCACTGACGAACAGACTGACGGACTAGTTATTTTTTTTTATTTTGCTATGGACGTGTCCATTGCATTTGGCCGCTAACACGTCTGGTGGTAAGGTGATGTGACCTACGATGGAGCACGACTACCCATAAGCAACCTATTCACTCGGGCCTTGAAGACACTCAGATTATACCTTTCGGGAATACAGACTCCGGCAAAGAATTCCACTCCTTAGCGGTTCGGATTGTAAAACTGGAGGCGAACCGCTTCGTGCGTGTGGGTGGGATATCCATCATGAAATCATGACGTTTTGCCGATTGGGGAATTGAGGAATAAAGTTGTGTAGCTCCCTCGAAAATTCTCCGAATTGCTATCCGATAAAAAATCGAAAGGATCACAACTGTTTTTGCTATTTTTACGTTTCAAAAGTACCCGTGTAACGAAATAATGTTTTTTGACTAAACTTAATTTGAGGTTTTAAGTCCAATCGTTGGCTACCTACCGTAAGAACCCGTGTAAGTAGTATAAATATGGTGTCACTTTGTTTTTTTTTCTATTTATTTTTTATGTAATAGACCGGCTAACGAGCAGGCGGATTACCTAATGGCACAGTATAAACATCATATTATTACCTTGCTAATGGTAAGCAATCAAAGCCGCCCATGGACACCCGTAATAGAGGAGTTACGAGTGCGTTGCCGACCTTTTGGGATTAGGGAATTTGAAGATTTAGGGATTGGGGATTGGGAATCCAGTAAACTCACTCACACGGCGAAACGCAACGCTGTGGTTGTTTCACGCCGGTTTTCTGTGAGGCCGTGGTATCACTCCGGTCGAGCCGACCCATTCGTGCCGAAGCATGGTTCTCCCACACTTTCATTTTTGGTTTTGTTTTTCTTTTACGACACGTAATTGGGTAGGTAGGTATATTCACTGTCATTTACTTATAGTGCGTTTTTGATTTAAGTATTTAATATTTTAAAAGCATCGTGTTGAATTATAAATTTCATATTTATTTATTTATTTGCGTTCTACAAGGTACAAAGATGTTTTTGTGCTTGCATCCAAAAACATCGAATTCCCTAAACTTCCTAAGAATTTATTTTTTACTATCGATAAATAAATTCCTTCCATTTTTAAAGTTTCGTTTTTGACACAATTTGAAAAGTTAGTAATTAATAAATAATTTATTTTTGTTATTATAAAAAAAAATTTAAAACACTAGGTAGGTATCCCAATAATTTATTTTTAAACTCTAATTATCACAAAAATAAATAAAATTTATTACGTTCCTAAAAAAATAAAAAAGCTACTCACCGATCATTTTGAAAATTGAAATTCGAATTACGTCACAGAAAATAATAATAATATCAAAACAAAAAAAAAAACACTGTTTTTTTTTCACTTAAATCGCACTGATCGCGGCCCCGGACAGAATCCTAAACAGTCTTAAACTGTGTATTGCTGTCTAATTGCTAAAGACCAATCAACTACTTTTATATAAATAAGCTAACAATTAATTGATAAACCTTTTTGCTATCAGAATACACGGAAACATTGGAAAATATATCATATGTCGTGCGTCATAAGATTGTTTAAGTTTTTTACTAGCTGCCAAGTAATTTTGCACAGATTATAATCAAAAGAGGAAGACAGAATATGCCTATAGTCGGAAATTGATTATTCCAATTGTTACTTGTAATGAAAAGATATAAAAAGTAATATTTTTCCGATAAAGTGTCATCGGCACCGCGCGTTCTAAACACGGACAATGTTATTTTTATTATTGTTTACTATTTTTATAGAACCTTATTTGTGATGGTTGTAAAAAAAGTGTGTCAAAGATTGATGTTTTGATAAAAAAGAAAGAAATAAAAACAACATTTCCGATTCCGACAGCCATTTTGTAATTATGATTTGTTGTTGATTGTACCTAACTTGTTAATGATTCATAAATTACTTAGGCAGGTACCGAACCGATATCGAAGATAATCACCAGATGCAGTGTAGGTATTGCACCACATAAATGCATTCAATCATCATCATCATCATCGTCATCATCGGTCTATAAGTGCCCACTGCTAAACAAATGCCCCTTCTCACACGGAGTAGATTTGAGTATTAATCAGATCACCACGCTTGCTCAAGGCGGATTGGCGAGTTCAAACTTTTTAAGAAAGTCCAGGTTTCCTCACGATGTTACCCTTCACTGTATGTCAGTGGTGTCTAAATGATCATTAAAAGTAGGTACAAATACCTTGGAAAAAATCACATTAGTAGATAGGTACTTGTCAGGTTTCGAACTCGCGCCCTCTTGCATGAGAAGCCAGTGCCTTAAATATCTACCTCCGGGCCATCACGATATTTTACACGCATTTGATATAACTAGGTATAAAATTGTTTAACTGGCCTGGCCCAAGGCTAAGAACTCTTCGCCCAATACAGGAATCAAAGCCCCTAAAACCCCTTAACAGCCGCAATTTAAACACTCGATCAACCAACAAGACAATACGGTAGTTTCCGACTAGTCAAATTCAGTACTTTTAACCAAATGTCAAAAACGATACATAAGATGAAAATTTTATGAAACACTGAGTTATGACGTCAAAGTATTTTTGCGTCAAATAGCTTACTTATTTCTTAAAAATTTGCTTAAAAGTATATGAAATTCATAAAAAATTGGTAGTTATTTTTAAATATTTTATTGTATTGAAACGTCGAATTAATTTATTTTTGACCTAGGAAACTACCAAATTCTTGGCTTTCTCGATATCATTGTTTCTTTTTGTATGTGACAGAGCCGCTAACGAACAGACGCATTACCTGATGGTAAGCAATCAGCGTCGCCCATGGATACCTACAAACTGATTAGGGTTTCGGAGATTTGAGGGTTGGGAAGCGGAAGGACTAAGCCTCCAGTAACCTCAGTCACAAATCGAAACATACGGTTTTCTGTGTTCTCAATGTATAACTTCGGTCGAGCCGACCCATTTGTGCCCAACAAAGCCTAACTTTTCTACACTTGCCAGCTTTATTGTAGGTTGATTTTTAATACTTTAAGAAAGATGATACGTCATCAATGACCTGTTATAGACCAATTGCGTTGATTCCCACTATTTCTAAGATCTTTGAGAAGGTTATACATGACAGACTCTACACTTTCTTGGAAAAATATAATATACTTTCTGAAGAGCAATATGGTTTCAGGAAGAATAAATCCATAAATACAGCTATTTATAATTTCCTCGCAACTATTATTAGCAATATTGATAAGAAGACACCCGTTTGTGCACTTTATATGGATCTCACAAAAGCTTTCGATTGTGTAGATCATCAAATACTTTTAAACAAATTACATGCATGCGGCGTGAGAGGAAACGTACTCAACCTTATCAAATCCTATCTTGGTAAACGGAAACAATGCACTAGAATAAGCCGTTTAAACCCGAATTTTAGAATAGAAAAGCAACACTCATCAACTTACAGAGAAGTTAAAGTGGGTATCCCACAAGGTAGTGTGTTAGGACCGTTGCTATTTAATGTCTATATAAACGATTTACCAAAAATATCCACCCAACCAAGCATATTGTTTGCAGATGACAGTACATTTATTTTTGCTAATAAGGATACAAGCTCACTTATACTTGACATGAAAAATACTCTTAATAATATAATACAATGGTTGACATCCAATAATTTAAAGATAAATCTAACCAAAACACACCTTATGACATTTAGAAATCTAAAACCAATGATTAC